GAATCTTCTTCCCTTTCTCACTGCATCTATCTTGACTTTGGTTTCATTACTTAATGCCATCAGTTGAAATCACCTATTATTCCATTCTGGAAGTCTTTGCTAACTTAAAACATTGTGAGGATGAACTCCATGTATCTCACCTTCTCCTTTCTTCCTGTCTTATTAAGTTAATTTCAACTCTGTTAGTCCACCTTTCAAGCCTTTCCAGTGTGTTTCACCCACCTTGTTAGTCTTACTTAAATTTATTTGCATATATTTCCAGTGCTGTGGCCTAAATTACTCAGTGTTGCCTGATGATAATTTTCCCTTCACCACCTAGAGTCCTTCCCTCCTTTTTTGCCTTCCCCCCCCCCTACTTTAATTGTTGTTGTTAGTGCTCCATCCAGTTGAGTATGACTCATGGTGACCCTACGAGCAACAGATCTGAACCCTGTCCTGTCATGTTCCAGTTCTAACCATATCTGACATCCCGAGCCCGTTACTGCAGTCTCTGTGTCAGTCCACCTCATTGAGTGTCTTCATCTCTTCTGTTGACACTCCACATTTGCAAGCATGAGGTCCCTTTCTGAGGAATACCCTCTTCTAGCAACATGCCCAAAGTAGATGAAATGAAGCTTTGTCATCCTTGCCTCTAAAGAGCATTCTGGCCGAACCTTCTCCAAGACACATTTGAGGGTTTTTTGGAAGTCCATGGGATCTTTTCCAATGCCATCACTCAAAGGCATCAATTTTTCTTCTGCCATCAGTACTCATTATCCAGCTCTCAGACCGAGAGCAAGTGTTTGAAAAGACCATTTGCTGTGTGTTGGGTTTTAAAAAGAAATATGTTTTTTAAATAGAAAAACCCTGAGATTCTTAAAGGAAGTGATTATGTCTTACACTACTTTGTATAACCTAAAGAATCTTATCAGTGAAAACAATGTAATTATTCTCCATAATCGGACAGATCAACCAGTAGTTAAGATGGAACTCAACACCCTTGATCTCATCACATCCCTGATGCAGGGAAGGGGAATTTCCCCTGTAACACCTTTATCTTGTAAGAGATAAAAAGATAAAACAAGGAGTAGAGAGGGGTATCTGAATCTCACCAGGACAGTGGAGATTATCCTTTGAACCTAGTTTCCTGCACTGGGAAATTCCTAAAACCAGAAGACCGAGAGAAAGCCTTCTTCTACAGTTGACATCCTGGATTTGAACTTCTAGCCTCCTTCCTAAAATGTGAGAGAACTGTCCACTCACGATATCTCTGTTATAGCAGCACTGAATAACTAAGACAGTTCATAATAAATATATTTATGTCATGGAAACAAAGCCTCCATAATATAGTCTGGGTTTTTTATAGTTAGTCTTAATCCATTTTAAGCACTCTGATATTTTCTTCTCTGTTCTATTTAATTTCTCTCAACATTGGCTTAAATTTTATTTCACAACCATTTGTCAGAGTGAGGGGAAGCATACTGCACATAGCAGGTAGACTCTTGCGTACATTGAATTGAATGGTGTTTTTCTAAAATCGTTATAGACATACTACTGATTCTAGAATATATTGATCAGCATATACTGTAATCTGTATGCTGAGCAAATCATTCAAGAAGTTGGACTCCATGAAAAGAATGTGGTACCAGGATTGGAAGAAGACTCATCAGCAATCCACATTATACAGGTAACAAAATGTTGCTTGTTGAAGTCAGGAGGACCTGAAATGCTGCAGAAGATCAAAGACTACAGCCTTCACGATGGATTACATCTCAACAGCAAGAAAACAGAAATTCTCACCACTGGAACCAAATGCAATATCACAATAGATGGAGAAAAGGTTGAAATTGCCAGTTATTTCATCTTACTTGGTTGCACAGTCAAACGCCCTTCATACCAGCATTCAGAGGCACAGTGCATTGGGAATGTCTGCAGTCAGAGACGTTTCCAAATTAATGAGGAGCAATGATGTCGGTTTGAAGACTAAGGTACATCTTACTCAGACCATGGTCTTTTCAGTCATTTGCTATGCATCTAAAAGCTGGACAGTGGATAAGGACCGCAGGAGGAGACTTGATGACACCT